AAAGAATGTGTAAAAGAAGGTGTTAGGAATGGAGATATTTTTGTTAAAAAAGTAAATTTGTCCTAAAGTAAAACTGGTTATGGGAAAGAAGAAAGGACAAATTCTGAAATTAAAAAAGAAAGTTATAGAAAGTGTGTGGAAGAGGAACCCTGAGCAAAGAATTTTATGCAAGCTGGCTAATATTGGAATGAATTTAATTACATAAATGAGTTTTAATATCAAAAGTAAGCTGGTGCAAATTAGAATTTGGTTTTCTGTTATAAGGGCAAGGTTTCTTAGGCTTTTAGTCTGCTCTTGATAAAGAGACTATGAAAGGTTTTTCTGTATCTTTGAGTAATCTGCCTAAAAGGCAGGGATTTTATGTTTTATCACAATAATCTCTTGTGCTTTATGTTAAAAGCTGAATTTTTTTCTACTAAAAAAAGCTAAGGTTTTGCAAGTAACTTTCTGAAATATTTTTGTCACTTTATTTAAATAGATAATTAAATATTCAGTTTTATAACAATCTGTGATTCTATTTAGGCAAACGTTTTAAGACCTTCTTTGACATTTTTGACAAACTTCCCAAAATCAGATTCTAAATGAAGTCTTTTTTGACCTCTTGCTAACTTTGGGATTTTTCAGAGGATCCCTGAAACATCTCAAAAGACTTGTTCTCTTTCCTCATAAAAAGAGGGATATTGAACTAATAAGGCTTATCTAATATGTTAAATTACATGGGAAGCATTGTCAAATAACAAATAACATTAGGGCTGGCTCAGTGGTGTAGCAACTAAGTTTGCACATTCCTCTTCAGTGGCCTGGGGTTTGCCGGTTCAGATCCTGGGCATGGACCTACTCACCGCTCATCAAGCCATGCTGAGGCGTTGTCCCACATAGAAGAACTAGAAGGACCTACAAATAGGATATACAACTATGTACTGGGGCTTTGGAGAAAAAAGACAAAGAGGAAGATTGGCAACAGATGTTAGCTCAGGACCAATCTTCCTCAAAACAAAAACAAAAACCCCATGCATTCATTTAAAAAATAAATAACATTGTCTTCTTTATGTATGTCTTTATAAGCATATGTTACAAAATTTCCAGAAATTATGTGAAATTCTGCAAACATACAGGAAACATCCTGTCCCCAGAAGCCTCAGAACGCTTCCCTCTGGATCCTTTGAGCACCTGCAGCTGGATTTCATTCAACTGCTACTTAGTATGGCTTATCAACATGTTCTTATTATTGTATGTTCTCTGGCTATGTTCCAGGAAAAAATGCCTGGAAATCTAATGTGTCGTGATATAAAATGTTGTGTCATTAAAATTGAGGATCACAGTAAGAGGATGGAACATAATATCAGAAAAGCACCTTAGCTGATTTCCATATAAAGGCATCAACAACAGAATCTATAAAGATTGGCATGTGTGGATGAAGTCCATTCTGCCTCTTCAAAGAGCAGCCCCTTGTTGCCAGACTTTTGCCGTCCTGATGCCCTTGTAACATGGCAACAGTCTGCTCCTGAATCGGAGAAATTAAAATGGGTAAACAATGGCTGTAAAATAAACAGTCAGGGCTATGGGAAGTCCAAGACGGCCTCTTGGCTCTTCCCAGCTCCCTGGCAAATCCTATTTTTCATCTTTACATTCCTTCACCCACCATAATGCATTAACAAAAACTATTTCTGTCCCCAGAAGCCTCAGAACGCTTCCCTCCGGATCCTTTGAGCACCTGCAGCTGGATTTCATTCAACTGCTACTTAGTATGGCTTATCAATATGTTCTTGTTATTGTATGTTCTCTGGATGGGTTAAAGCCCTCCCTTGCCACAAAGCTGATGCCCTCACAGAGGCAAAGAAACTGTTAGAAAATGTTTTCCACTTAGAGTATACCTTCCACATTCTGCAGTGATCGAGGCAGCCACTTAACTGGGCAACTCATATGAGCCTTAATGAAAACCTTTCAAACTTCCTGGAATTATCACTGTCCTTGTTGCCCTCAATCATCAGGCAAAGTCGAGAAAACTAATGGAAAAACTGGATCCAAGCAGAACAAGTATTAATTACGTGGGACTACATGAACTGAGGAGGATGCTCCAATGTTTTCTTTTTCCAGATTCAAAGAAATCTTTTCTCTTAAGCAATCAACAATTTCATAAGACATACCTTTGTGAATAAAGATGAAATATTTTCTTTTTCTCCACACCTGATCCCTCCAGAATTCAGAAACTGAGTATTCTTATTTTCAATTATGTAAATAATCAGGCCAAATTTTTAATATAATTAGTTTTACTGTGATGATCTTTGGTAAAAAAAAAGAGGGTAATTGTAGAGAGAAAAATTACATTTGCACTTTTGTAGAAATTAGATTCTAGTCCTGTTAATTGTCTTTCAGCTTTGTTATATACCTATAGACTGGACTCCCCTGGAGTAAGGTATTGTCTTTGGTCATACTGTTCATAGTACCCTCTTTGGAAAACATAAACTAACTCCACAAGAGATAGTCACCAGCAGATCAGTGTCTGTTAATACACAACACAAGGGATTCTGCTGATCCCTTGTCATCTTTTACTAGTATGACCAGACTACTGTAAGTCTCTAATGTCATATACTCAAGCCTATCATCAACAGGTTAAAGCAGCTTTCCCAGATCCCAACTTAAAGGATCCTGGTGGTCAGTCTAGAGCCTGGTGACTGAGCATTCTGGAAGTGTCATCAGAGACAGTCCTCAAGCCCCATTGGAAAGGACCTTACCAGGTGCTCCTGATCACTGAAATTGATGCAGAACTACAAGGCATTGCATACTGTGTGCCCCTCCTGGGTACACCTTTATGTGCGATTACTATGGAGAACCATGTGCTTATAAATGCTAGACAGCTGGCATATGGCAGGACAATGCCTTTAATTATATTCCATTTCAAGTTCTTGTTAAAGAAAAATACCCAACTGCTATCTCACAGGGCTAGTTGAGACTTGGCAACCCAGTTTTTACACCCCATCTACTCTCCATTGACTACCATTGCCAAAGGCTTTGTCCCTCGATGTCCATAATGACCTGTTGATAAAAAAAAAAACTTATCCCTAACCATAGCTGAACTGGCAAATTCTGCCAATCAAGCCATACCTCATTAAAATGATCCCTGGATTCCTTCGCAAGGGTTATATTAGATAATTGTATGGCACTCGATTAACTCCTTGCAGAACAGGGTGGCATCTGTGCCATAGCCAACACTTCCTGATGTACCTGGATCAGCTCCTCTGGTGAAGTTGAATTAGAACTCGGAAAAATTATAAAACTAGCACAGGATCTCTCCAGTCCTACATCAGGTATGTCAGGTATCCCCAGGATGTGCCGAGTGTCAGTATCACACAGGGTCCCCTGATCTGAATATGTGTCCCCAAACTGCACTGCAGTGCCATCACCACACATCCATCCCACCCAACACCTGAATGTGTTTCCAGGTTGTGCCACTGTCACACACCTGTCTGCAGGACCAGACCTCACTCATTCATCTTATCAATATCTAGTGCACAAGAAATTGGGGGGAAGGGTCAGTGTGTTAATAGTATGAGAGATGCAGTGAGCCAAATATAGAATGCAGCAAATTATAATGGACATGTGGCTCAGCACTTCAACAAGAAAATAATAAGAGGTGAGCAATGCCTATAGGTTAAGACTCCTAAGATACACACTGTGTATCCCAATTGCAATTGGTCTGTCTTAAAGAACACATACATTTTTGAGAAAATTGATAAAATACAGCACTAACAACACATTTATCATATTTTAAAATATTTTTATTTTGTGAGAAAGTTATTGGCATTATGAAAAAGCTCTTACATTTTAGAAAAGCATTCTCAAGAAGTTATGCATTAAATGACATGATGTCTGGGTTTATAAGTAAAACAACTCACTAATGAGCATGAGGAGAAATGAAACAAGAATGATCATAATGATGGAAGATTGGGGATTCATCAGTCTTTTCCACTTTTGGATATATTTGAAAATAGTCATTACAAAAAGAAGACTATGTCATTGTATCAGTACTTTTATATTTTGAGAAGGATGAATTTAAAAAGGGCATGAGGAAACTTTTTTTTGTATCACAATATCAAAATATACTTTAAATATGTGCATTTAGATGAATTATACATCAATTAAACTGTTTAAGTTAAAGATACTCAAACATTGTCACTCCCTAATCATTTTACTCTGTTTTGTTATTCTTGAGGTTGTTTGTGGCTACTGGATCAGTATGGTGGAAATAGAATGGTGTGCTACCGGCAACTCTCTCCAACTCCATGTTCAGTGACATCATGTTGGCAGTTTAAAACTGGCCAAGGTGGGGAGTATTTACACCAAGAAAATTGGCAAACACTACAAACTACGGCTTGACTTATGGTATTGTTAAATACAATATACTGAATGTCTACACTTAGAAGAGTGATAAAGAGTATGTCAATAATGCTGATGTAACTTAGTGTTTTGTACAGGTGGCCATGACATTGTGCATACTGAAAAAAAAAAAAAATTAGGAAAAACTGACAAAAAACTCCTCTAGTATTCAAAAACAATTACTCCATGCAGCAAAGAAGTCACTGACATTCATTAAGAATGAGTAAAATTCCAACATATGTCTTTGTTGTCTCACTGTCTTATTTGTTACTAAAAGGCACACAGGCAAAATTCATTAAGATAGAAAATAGGCCAAAGATAAGAATAGGCATTTTACTAAAGAAGATATACAGGTAGCAAACACACAAAATAATGATCAACACAATAAATCCTTACAGAAATGCAATTAAAGCCAGTGACACACCACTACACACTTACTTTAAAACAGTAAAATTAGAAAATGACCTTACCAAGTATTGACAAGGGTGTGAAGGAATTGGAACTGTCACACACTGCCAGTGGGAATGCAAAAAAACACAACCATTTTAGGTCACAGTTTGGCAATTTTGTAAAAAGTTAAATATTCACCTACCCCAAGACTCTGGCATTGTACTCTGAGTTATTAATACAAGAAAATGAAACACGTACCTATAAAAAGGAGAGTAAACAAATGCTCATATCAGCTTTTATTTGCAATTGCTAAATACTAGAAATAACCCAAATATCCATAAACAGGTGAATGGATAGACATAGTCAATTATACATGGAAAAAACGCTATTTAGAAACAAGAATGAAATGTGCATATAAGCACCATTAATGAATCTCAAAGTAATTATGCAGCATCGATGAAACCAGAAAAAAAGAGTAAACACTTTACAATCAATCATAAAATTCCAGAAAATGCAATCTATTGTAGAGGAATGGAAATCAGTGGTTGCCTGGAGGGCCAGGCAAAACAGGGAGAGAGTATAAAAGGGCATGAGGAAAATATGCAGGTGACAGATATGCTCGCTATCAAGATAATGAGGACAGTTTCATGAGTTTATACAAAAGTCAAAACTTACCAAATTGTACACTTTAAATATGTACAATTTATTCTATGTCTACTATACCTTAATACAGCTTTAAAATGTGGTTCCTATTTTAGATTTTGATTTTCCATCTTGATTTTCCATAGAGTGGAAATCTAAATCTTCCAGTCTTTAGAAAATCAGGTTTGACAACTCTGTATTGACTCCACTATCTCACTCCTCATGCCTTGAAGGACAGCCTTTCCTCAGTGGCAGGAAATACTGGCAAACAATGAAGACCATTTCCACCTGAGTCAAAAGGATCCCTGGCTGCATCACAATAGCCACATCCCTGGACTATAGGATCTCCCTTCTCCCCATCCTTCTGTTGTCTATATAGCAATGACCTTGAGGTAAGCGGCTCAGAGAGGCTAGAGGAATCCACAAAATATTTTTTCTGCCAATGAGTTCAGCTACGCAGATAAACATACCTGGAGGTTCCATGATTTCTGTACATACTCATTGCACAGTCATTGTCATTAGAACAATTGTGGATGCATCTTTAGCAGAGGCACATTCCATCTAGTTTGCTGCAGTCTCCTCCACTCTCTATTAATCCAGTGTTTCTGTACCAATTACTGTCTCCCCTGCCCCTGTAGTCTTACAACTAGAGACACCAGCCTACTGAATTCTGGATGAGGACATATGGCTCCTCTGTAGGACCTGGGGTTAAGATTCCCCTCGGCAGTCCTGGGCATTATGTGCTATCCCCTGTGAGCAAGGCAAAAATACATGTTGACTCTAGAAGCACTGGAGGTGTCACAAATGCCCCTTCCTCAGTGTGACCTCTGAACTCACAGATCTCTGGCATTCAGGTATAAAATTAGGACCACAAAGCAGTCTTTCCTAGAAAGCCTTGGCAGCAACGCAAAGTAGGCCAAAACTGGAAAGCACCATATTCAACCATCATACTGTCCCACCTGAGGCACCCCAAGTTTGGATCCTCACAAAAGTTGTTTACCCTTCAAGTTGGAAGGAGCTTAAAAAAAAAAAAAAAAAAAGGCTTTATTACTGTACAAACCAGATCAATGTGCAACAGGCATTTTCTGGCTTGGTGGATTGGAAGCCAGAAAACTTCATCACAAGCACTACCTGAGACCAACTGTGTCCCTAAGAAAGCTAGACTTTCTCTGCAAGCCGTCAGCAGAACTCAGATAGCGTTCTCTGGGACAACACAGGGTCAGGTCCACACCCTAACTTGTCCTAGAATAGGGAATGAAGACCCCATAAGGGCTAGGATACTCATGATTTCCTCCAACAAATGGGAGAGAAAACATGTCAGCTTCACTGAGCATAGTAGGGTGGTAACTGATGCACACACTGTGGACCTGCCAGATGGTAGAGGTGAAATGGCTTCTGGCAAAGAAACTGGCAATGACATAAATCTGACACAAACCCTGGGCAGGATACACATGCTTTCCACATAACTGAACTTATGGGAAATCTCTAGTCTGTGGATGTCTGGATATATGAGATTCAATTCAGGCAGATGACTCCTCACAGAGCCTTTCCTCCAACACTGTTCTTCTAACTAAGCAAAGAGCACATTTACCTGAGGCTTTTCTCCAGAGTGAACTCTTTGGTGTTGGCTGAGGTCAGACTTGCAAGTGAATGATTTCTCACATCACTACATGTGAGCTCTCCTATGTCGAAGGAGGCCAGAGCTCTGGCTAAAGGATTTCCCACATTCATTGCACTCATAAGGCCTTGCTCCAGTGTGAACTGTCCGGTGTCGGATGAGGTGGGTTTTGCGGCTAAAGGATTTCCCACATTCACTGCACTCATAAGGCCTTTCTCCAGTGTGAACTCTTTGGTGTTGAATGAGGACAGATTTCTGGCTAAAGTATTTCCCACATTCAGCACACTCATAAGGCCTTTCTCCAGTGTGAACTCTTTGGTGTTGAATGAGGACAGATTTCTCACTAAAAGATTTCCCACACTCAATGCACTCATAAGGTCTTATTCCAGTGTGAACTCTCCAGTGTCGAATGAGGTGAGTTTTACAGCTAAACGATTTCCCACATTCAGTGCATTCATATGGCCTTGTTCTCGTGTGAGCTCTCTTGTGTCGAAGGAGGCCAGAACTTTGGCTAAATGATTTCCCACAGTCACTGCATTTATAAGGTCTTTCATTAGTGTGAACTCTCTGGTGTTTAATGAGGATGGACTTCTGGATAAAGGATTTCCCACATTCACTGCACTCATAAGGTCTTTCACCAGTGTGAACTCTTTGGTGTTGAATGAGGTCAGATTTCTGGCTAAAAGATCTCCCACATTCAATGCATTCATAAGGTTTTGCTCCAGTGTGAACTCTCCAGTGTCGAATGAGGTGGGTTTTGCGGCTAAACAATTTCCCACATTCAGCACACTCATAAGGCCGTTCTCTAATATGAATTTGCTGGTGCTGAACAAGTCTGTATTTGCAGCTGAAGGCTTTCCCACATTTGCTACACTTATCAAGACCTTCTCCAGTGCAGACTCTGTGGTGATGAAGTGTGTCTGTGTTGCTGAAAACTTCCCTGCATTCAATCCACTTGTCATGACTTTTTCCACTGTTAACGGGCTCCCTACATTCAATGCTACTATGTGGCTTCTCACTGTTGGGAGTGTCCTGGTGTTCGAGAAGGCCTGAGGTAGGTACAAAGTCCTTTCCACCCACCCCAGAGGTGAAGGGCTTCCCTGACACATGGAATCTGCAGCTCGTCACAAACGAGGCGAGGTCCATGCCCATTTTGAAGATTTTCTCTCCACTGTCATGTTTTTGGTTTTGGTGAAAGTTTGCACGGATCCAGAAACCTCTGGATGCCCCATCCAAGTATAGTTTCTGCCCAGGATATGTTGTTTGGAGCTCAGTGAGGTGCAAAATGTCTTTCAACACTGGGACACACTTTTCACAGGGGTGAGTCATCTGAGCCAATGAACCTGCCTTAGAAGTCCTGACCTGTGACACTCCTTGTACAGAAATATTTTCCTCAGAAAGCACCTCCTCATCCTCTGCTCCACACCAACAATCTGAAAGCAGAGAAACGATAAAGTGCATGTTAACTTAGGTGAGAGATGGAAGTCTCATCAAAAGTGTGTCATACATACACATTCAAACCAAAGAATGAATTCATAGGAGTGTTTTCAGCGAAAGGGGGCAATCTGAAGGGAGGGCTGCTTTGCAGTACTGAGCCTCTAAAGGTCAGAGAATGAGGAATACCTTACAGAACAAAGGGCACAATGATGGGCTGCCATACAGGGAGGAGAGGCAGGATCACTGACTTACTCCTCTGCCAACAGCCTTCTGCAGGACCTTGTCATGGGGACATGTCCATGCTATGCAAAGGATGGTTGTGTCCAGGCCCAGAGGAATACAACTGGAACTGAGTATCTGGTGTTCAAAGACTGTTTAAGGATATGTGCATACCTCTCAACACATTATGCGTGGGTCACTGTGGGAGAACTGTAGACTGTGCAGTGGAGAGGAACAAGTGATGCATGGAGGTCAGAAAGCATGGGGGCAGTAGGGATTGGAAGTCACAGATAAAATGACAAATCAGAAAAGTGTCAAGTATGTGGAAGAAAGTATAGAAATGATTTGTGTCCAGTGGCACTTGCACCACAACACTGGTTAATACAGGGCAGGTTCCTGGTATGATCTGAACACAGCCATGATGTCACGTCCTCCCCTAGTTGCCACTCACCAGGGCCAGGCCTCCTCGGAGACCATCAGGCCATGTCCATCTTGTGAGACAACCAAGGTTCTCCCTGTATTCCCAGTTGTTTAACTACATGAGACCTGAATGAAGCAAGTCTTTAGGGAAAGACAGTTCACATGAGCGGTGAGTACTGGCCCAGAGCAACTCAGGAAACAAGAGACCACAGAAAAAAAATATTACAACAAAATCTCAAAAGAGGGTCTTTCAAGAAAAGCCTATGTTGGGCCGACCCCATGGCTTAGCAGTTAAGTGCATGCGCTCCACTGCTGGCGGCCCGGGTTCGGATCCCGGGCCTGCACCGACGCACCACTTCTCCGGCCATGCTGAGGCCGCGTCCCACATACAGCAACTAGAAGGATGTGCAGCTATGACATGCAACTATCTACTGGGGCTTTGGGGGAAAAATAAATAAAAATAAATAAAAATTAAAAAAAAAAAAAAAGAATCTATATTAAAGAAAAAAAAAGAAAAGCCTATGAACCACTTCAGTAGTGACCGTGACAATGCCTGCAATTCCTGATATAGGCAGTAATGAGGAAATCTTAAGCATTCTCATCACAAGAAAAAAAATGTTTGCAACTCTGTATGATGATGAATGTTAACTGGACATGCTGTGCTGAGTATTTTGCAATACATACATATACTGAACCACTATGTTGTACACCTGAAACTAATATGGTATATGACAATTATATCCCAAAAAAAGGAAAAAGCAAAAGGGGTTACAATCTGGGACACAAGGTGACATGGATCTGGGCAGTCATACAGCCAGGGAGAGGGCAAGCAAGGGGAGATCCATTATGCTGACTGCAAGACTGCTGACTCCCAGACTTCACCCGGCACACCTTGGGGTAGCAGGCATTAGGGTTGCATGGGGAGTGCATTTCTTGAAGTAGTGCACACAGTTTAGTGCTGGCACCCACAGTACATATGCCAAGGAAGTGAGGAAGCTATCAGGGCCAATGGTCTGGCTGTGGAAAGGACAGAGCTGCCTCTGGGACAGGGGGAAAGACAGACCAGCTAAGGACACTGGGAGGAATATGAAGGCCTTACCCAGGGATGTTGTAAGTGCAAAGTTCTCCAGCATCACATCATGGTACAGGAACCTCTGTGCCTCATCAAGGAGCCTCCACTCCTCCTGGGAGAAGTAAATGGCCACATCTTCAAAGGTCACACAGCCCTGTCATGATGAGGACAGTCAGCTCCTCTCCTAGTGGAAGTATATCCACCCACTCTTCTATCCACTGCTCACCTTCCTCCCCATTTCCGCCATCTCAGAGGAGATACCAGGCCCTGGTGTGACTGATGCACACTCTCTCTTCATGGTCTCTTTGATCCCTGTGTCCACCCACACAGGATGTGGGTGGGTAGGTAGACAACACCTAAGCTCAGGGCCTGGCATTGAAGGAAGCACTCCTTTTTGTCAGGCAATTCTCCTAGGATCTCCCAGACCATGCCTCCCAGATATAACAAAGGGTGTGGGCTCATTTCACCCTTATGTCTTCAATGCAAGGCCCTTGGGCCATCAGCTCACACTCTCTTCTCCACATGGACATCACTATTTCTACTACATCTCTCTCTAACCATCACTATGTTTTCCCTGCCCTGCACCATAGAAATCTCCCTTTCCTTCCTACATGTTATTCAACACACGGCATATAGAGAGTGCTTATCAAATTGAAACAGGACGCAATACCACCCCTGACCTCCAATGGTCCCCATTGCCATTGACAGCCCAGAATCCTGTTCTAAAAGTCTCCCCTTATAAAATAGATAAATCACAGGCATGTAATACATAGCATAGTGAATACAGTAATAATATTGTGGTAAAACTGTATGGTGACAGACGGTAACTAGATTTACGGTGACAATCATTTAGTAACGTATGAAAATATCAAATCACTATGTTGTGCATGTGTGTTACACCAGAAACTAAGATAACATTGTATGTCAATTATGCTTCAATACACACACTTCTCTCTACCTGCCTCTGTTCCTTGCTTCAAACTCAGCCACTCAGAACCACCTGTGGATTTCATATACCCATGGCCCTCATCCACTTGTCTGCACTTGATGTGCTCTCACCAGTCACAGACTTCCTCTCTCCTCCTCTCATTCAAAACCTCATTCCAGAGGCTTTCCACCCGGGGTCCACTGACTCTCCCAAATGATCAAAGTGCCCCTATACTAATCCACCCACCTGACTGAAACTCCCCAGACACACCAAGATCACAACAAAACCCTGGAGAGCCCATAAAGCAGTGAATAAGCCGTAGCCCTGGCCTCACTGTCATCTGGCCTCAATTACTCCTATGCCTCTGCCTCCATCTCACCTGCACTCAGAAGCCTGGGCCACCTGCCAGATCATCCTCTCTCCAATACTGTTCCCACAGCCACCTCTCTCCTTCACCTGTTTTTGCACCGTCTATGATCTCTAACCTAGGTGTTCAAGTATGAGACCCAGACCTCACACTCCATCCTCCCCTTCTTGGTCTCTTGTCAGCTGCGTGACCTTTTACAAGGACTAAATCCTTCTGTGTCTCCCATTATCACTCCCTTTCCAGTCTGTTCCTCTGAGCAGCTTTTGTAAAACTTCTAAAAGCCTAATTCAGGCGAGGTCTTTTCTGTTCACAACTCTCCATGCTCCCAACCTCCTGAAAATGGCAGCCTGCTATTGCAAGAGCGACTTGGCCTCACAGTCTCTGGTTCCTGAACACACACAAGACAGACCTCAGGGTTCCCGACTCCCCCCGGCTCAAACGCCCTCCAGGCCTCTCCCCCGCCGGGCCCTCCGCCTGGGACCCTCTCCCACACCCGTCACCCCGGCTCTCAGAAACAGGCCCCACGAGCGCCTCCCCGTCCCGGACACCGGGGCCTGGGCTGCAGGCCCGTGAGCGGCGCACGCACTCGGGGCTCTAGGGCTGGGCTGGGCTGAGGACGGGGAGGGCGCGGAGCACGAGCACTGACCTGAGCCGGCTCCCTCCGCGCGGCCGCCGCCATCGGACTCTGGGGGCGGGGCGGGGCCGGGAGCGGCGGGAACCCGGGGACAGCGGTCCCTGTCCCGGCCCTGGCGCGGGTCCCCCGGGTGGCGTCGCCGAGCCTCAGACCCGCCCTGTGCAGCGGGGACGGCGCCTCCTCTCGCGCCTCCTCGGTCCCGTCACCTCAGCCCCGAAACAGCGCTTCCGAGACTGTTGCCAGGAGAACCGCCCCAAGAAAAGCCAAAACGACCGCCACGAGGAGGCCGCCGGAAGTCCCGCCCCCACTCGATGCGCACACACGGAAATGCTCCTCTCCTGAGCCTTCATTGGCTCAACGCCGATGGCGCCCGGCGCAGTGTCTTCTGGGTAATGTAGTTCTCACAGCTCCAAAGGCCCAGGCGCTAGACGGTGCTCATTGGGACCTCCAGGGGAAGGGGCCCCGGGAGAGATACCGGGAAATGGTACCTCCAGCCCCCTAGAGCGAGGGAAGATCTTTGCTCTTTCTTTAAGGAGCTGTATTCAGATTTCTAGAGAATGTTGTCTGCAACTGATTATCTCAGCTGATTATCTAAGTGTTTAGAGACATTATTTCAGTCTCCTTGAAGCTTAGCATGCTCGCGGAGTCTGAAAGTATTATTTCAGGTGCTCTCAATGACTACAAATCCAAAGGGATATTTCATTCCATAGAGTCATTCAGACCCATAATGTGTCTACTCTTAGCCGGAACTTAATAAAATTATCTTCTTTCTCTTCAAGTGCCTGTTGCCTGAAACTTTAGAGTCAGCTGGTGAGTTTCAGGATGTCTGGTTAGGAGCGAGAGGAAAAGCCTCCACCTAGGGAGGGGACAGAGAAGATAGAAAAGGGATGTTAGACTGCGTTGAAGCAGGAGGTCAAAGCTGGAACTCTGTTTCTGGTTCCCACAGAAAATGTCTCTTCTGCCTGAAGAGTCATGAGGAACACTGGTGTATCTATATAATATTTCTTACTCCATAGCCTTGGATATATTCAATTCTTTTTAGGAACCTGACAAGTATTTGAGAAGACTCACTTACCAAATGTCATTTTGGAATAGGACAATGTCTATAGTGTTCACAGTAGGAGCACGTGTGCAAAGGGGACACTAGATCCTTGAGATAAAAGTTTGGGACACCAATATCTCATCTCTTTGATTGGTGGTGATTATCATTCCTACTGTTATTGCAGGAAAGGTGTCCTCATGGGGAGTTGAGATTAGCTCAGATAAAGTTGTGAAATGAAAATCACTGAAAGCCATTAATAATGACTATTTAGGGGCCAGCCCCATGGAGTAGTGGTTATGTTCAGCATGTTCTGCTTTGGCAGCCCGGGTTCGCAGGTTCAGATCCTGGGCACAGACATGCGCCACTTATCACCCATGCTGTGGTGGCGACCCACATATAAAGTGGAGGAAGATTGGCACAGGTGTTAGCTAAGGGCTAATCTTCCTCAAGCAAAAAAAAAAAAAAAAGCCTATTTAGTTACTCAAAGACAGTGGCTGGGTAGCTCTGGAAAACATCAGTAAGAGGGTTAAAAAAAAAAGTTAAAATCTCAGAGAAAATTAAACAGGACAAACTGGAGTCTGGGTAGAGATAGAGTTATCCTAGCAGTAACCATACTGAAACTTTGGCCACTCAGGATTTTGTCTTGAAAATTTGAAAATAAAATGAAAATTATTTTTTCATTTATGAAAACATTGGTTAATACTTAGAAGTGTAGTTAAAAAGGACTTTTAAAATATCCTCAGGATACTCTGGTGCAAATGAAGAATATATTCCCTGTTCTCTGTGTAGGAATATAGGACTTTTTAGTTTTTTGGAGACATTAACTAGGATCCAGGAATCTGTTCTGGGCTTTGTCAACACAATCCATAATCAATCTATAAATCAAAGTTGGGGAGAGTTTATTATATGAGCCAGTTTTGAGGACTATAGCCCAGGTGCAGGCCTCCACCAAGGAAGGAAGCTCTCTGAGGAAGTGGGGAGTACGCAGTGGTTATATACCATCTCGGAACAAGGAACAGATATTAAATATGACAGGAATATCCCTTTTACTATAGTCATGAGACACTTTGCTAGGACAGCAGCTCGGTGGTCAAGAGGTCAGTGGTCAAGAGATGAGCACAGTAGGTTAGTAATTAATCCTTAGTGTCTGGGAAGGAATGCTAATCTTTAAAGAAATGCTGCTGGGGCCAGCCTGGTGGCATAGAGGTTGAGTTTGTGTGCTCCTCTTCAGCTGCCTGAGGTTCACGGGTTCAGATCCCACGTGTGGACCTACACACTGCTCATCAGGCCATGCTGTGGTGGCGTCCCACATACAAAAAAATAGAGGAAGATGGACACAAATGTTAGCTCAGGAACAATCTTTCTCAACCAAAAAAGAGGAAGATTGGCAACAGATGTTACCTCAGGGGCAATCTTCCTCACCATAAAAAAAAAAAAGAAATGCTGCTATGGGGGGTGGGGAGGCAACATCCCTATCTTTAAGGGCATCATTCTCTGCTTTAGGACATTGTAAATGTTTAAAGCAGATGTACAATGCATGCTCAACAGGCCACTTCAGGCCTTTCTTGAAAAACAAGGTCAGGCAGAATTAGTTTTAAACCACATGTCTTCCTCATATACTCCAATATATGCTTTTCATTTATTCATCAGCTTAACTGGATATAAATAAAACTTCCTATTGTAATAAATAAATTAATAAATTATAAAAATATTTATATGATTAGCCCTCTTCTTCCATCATGTCTTAAGTATTCGTGGCCATAGGTTTACTTTTAATTTTGGTTTTCAAATAAGCTTTTCAATTCCCACAGAAATAAAACTTTTTGGAATATCGATTGTAATTTCATTAACTCCAAAGAGATATTAAAATAACTATCAACAGTTGTTCTTTTCTGGGTCTTAATTTATAAAGGTGACTGAATGATGATATGGAGGACAATGCCATTAAAAGAAAAGTTTCATGCCAATCACATTTCCCCCAGAAATGAGAGGTTTGGAAGGAACACCAGGTTTTGGTCAGAAAGCAGAAGCAGGAACAAGGGGAGAGCCTAGGCCAGAAGCCTTTATTGGGGTTTCAGAGGGAAAGGCAAGGCAGGGCAGGGTCAACAGTTTAGCATTGGCTAGTTTGAATAATTTTGGTGGGTTTTGGACTATAAGGATGGTCCATACTTGCCTGGTAGACTGGCCTTACAGTGATTAAGGCAGAGCAAAATTGCCTCTTGGGGTTCATGGGCCAGATGGAGGAGGCCTGGCTCTGCATGAGTTAGTTTGCATATCAAAGGCGTGCTCCTGGCTGTGCCCTTTGCTGTCTCTAAGAATTGGCTAGCCCCAGGAGGGACAGTCTCTCCTCAGCCAGAAAGATTTTTTGAGAAATCAAAACATCATAATGTATAAAAATAAAAAATATGATAAATACAACTGATTCTCTGATGTTTTGTCATCATGTTAAGGAAACTTTGGAGTGATGATAATGAAGACTTTTAGGTAGAAGTGATACTGGCTCAAGACAAGCTTGACATGAGGGAAGCCATTGTAGAAAAGAAACCCTATTGTAACTTTCAATGACCTCTGACAAACTAACCCAGCTGGCTATGCACCCTCCAGGAGATCTAATGGCTTTGTAGATTTTACGACCCCTTCTTGTGCACCTACCTCCCAGCTGCGATAAGATGATGACTTTGTTCTTTTGAGTTCCTTAGGAATGTAATGACTCCCGAACATAGAATCTATGCTGATAGCCATCATCAATGAAAACTGAAAGATCTGGTGTGGTGACTCCCAGTCTGTAACACCTGAGGGTCAACATTCCTAACCCCCTCTCCTATAACCCAATGACCTATATAACTGCTGTAAGATTTTGTGCCCCCTTAAGATGGTTCTTTGAGATGTTAGTCGGCCATCTTCCCTCTTGCTAGCAAGCTGTAATAAACTGCCCTTTCTTTTCCACCATCTTGCCTCTTGATGATTGGCTTTTGTCTTGCAGTGAGCAGATTGTGCCCTTTGTGCGGTAACAGAAGGGTGTAAACTGACCCAAAGTAGAAGAAAACATTTTACTATGATAATAGAAAGGAGGAAGACCAGTAGAGGTATAAGGAGTCCTTGTAGGCCAGCCCAAAACTAAATTTTCTATTTATTTGGCATTAGCCATGAAAATAGATCTGAAATTTTTGAGATCTCTAACAATATCTTGGTGGACTTTTAAAGTGTGTTAGTAATATGCTTAGGTCAAGGTGGCAGGTTTGGCAGTTATGTCACCAGAGGGTATGAACTGATAAGTTAGTAAAGTATATGTAAAGATTAGTGGTATTAGGAGCTGGCCTGGTGGTGCAGCAGTTAAGTTTGCACCTTCTGCTTTGGCAGCCTGGGGTTTGCCAGTTTGGATCCTGGGTGCAGACCCAGTCACCACTCATCAAGCTGTGCTGAGGCAGCGTCCAACATAGAGGAACTAGAAGGACCTACAACTAGGATATGCAACTATATATTGGGGCTTTGGGAAGAAAAAAAGAAAAAGAGGAAGATTGGCAACAGATGTTAGCTCAGGGCCAATCTTCCTCAAAACAAACAAATAAACAAACAAACAAGCAGATTAGTAGTATTTGTGTGTAATTAAAAGGAAGAAGTGATTGTCGTGGTAATGGTTAGAGATGCAAGACAGGAGACTGTAGTGGAAAACTGGAGGGGCATATTAGGAGAAGCACTGGGGAGTGGGTGGTCCTCTACTCAGGGGGTCAAGGAGTTGATTAACATGAGGCAAGTGCCTCCTGGATAAGCACTAACCTCCATTAATTTTTGGAACAGCACAGGTAGTAGTAACCTCTACTAGATTGCCCTTTAGGCATGGAGTGCAGGTGTGTACACTTTAGCAAAGAGCAAAGGATCATGAGCTAAGCAGGGAGAGAGCTCAGATAAGATAATAGGATTGATGATGTCAAAGTAAGAGATGCAGTAAATGTCTTGTGTCCAATTTGTGCCTTAGGATAGGCAGCCCATGGGCATTGTTGGGGCAAAAGCTTTGGTGTAAGGGGTGAAGTCATCTCCAACTTTGAGCTCTTGGGTTGGGGTGATATTGTCTGAAGTGATGTCATCTGAGGTGATATCACCTCCTACAGTGAGCTCCTGGGCCAAGACGATATCATCGGTGATGTGGGATTAGGGTATCCTTTCCAAGTGGGTACCCAGCTGAGTTGATATAAGTCTCAGCTTTGCTATGTTAGGTTGAAACAATGGCTTACTTGGAGAGATTGGGCCTCCTGATTGTAAATTAATAAAAGTACTCAGACCAGTAGTAATAAGATCAACAGTCACAAGAATGGTGTGCAACTGAACTTGACAGGTTTTTGTTTTTCAATGGAAGTTTAGTTTCAAATGAGTCCTATATGAGCAGCTCCCTGGTCTGTGGGACAATCTACGGTTAATGGGTTCTAGGAGAGTATGTACCCTCTTTCTGTCCTCCAGCTCTCATAGGATGGGGCAAGATCGAAACCTGATAAAGATAGGTTAAAGCCCAGCGCAATATAGAGACTGATTTAAGGGGTTTATTCAGACTGGAATTTGAAAAGGAGTTGTTTGAGGAAACCATTATGTCTCTCAGTTAAACTGGCTATTTGGGACCTATTAGGGACATGAAAGTTCTATTCAGTTCTTCTTTCAAGAGCTCACATCGTATATTTTGAGAAGTAAAATGTGTGACTTGTTGCTATTAATGTTTATAACTCTGAAGGGAATAAGGAGTATCCTGGCAAGGCCTTGTATTGTGGCCTCAGTACACATAGAGGCAAGTGTGATTTTGTGTTATATTTGGGGCCTCCATGAATCAAGAGATTCCTAGAGTTTTTTATCCTGAAGGAGACAATTTTTAGGTAATGGCCCAATAGTTTATCATAAATGTGAAGGTGGGTTCATTTGTTTGCCAGGGCATATGGCACCAAGATGACTATCTGAAGTTTGGTCAAGTGTGTAATTTCTTGGGTCTCCTCCTTTACCAGGGACATTCTAAGGTATGGAAAGCAGCAACATTCCACTGAGCTCTATCATGTGTGAAGGTTGGCAGTACCATTCACATTGCTCATTAAACAGGCATTCTGAGACCAATTCTAGTGTGTGTGTGTGTGTGTGTGTGTGTGTGTGTGTGTGTGTGTGTGTGTGTTGGGGGGGTGGTTCCCATACATACACCCAAGCATTTCTTGGACACCAGCAGAGTGTCGAAGAAGTCAACTCAACTCTGACGTTATCTACCCTTAGATAGCATCATTTCCATATGTTAGGATTCAGTCTTAAAAGACTTCCCCCCCAACCTCAGAAGCCAGTTGCAAGCCCAGGTTGTTACTTGTGCTTCTGACCGACTGGCTATAATTCAGAGGTTCCCAAGACCTCCTCCTAAGGTTTTATTAATTTGCTAGAGCAGTTCCTGAGGAATCCTCCTTCAGGATGAACACTTGAACTCATTAAATGCATGAAATCCATCTGCAAGTGTTCACATTACAGAGCTATGGGCTCGTTCTACTTGCTGCAAGACTAGCCAAAAAGTCGCAGGCAAGTCGGTGGAATAGAAAGGGTTTATTCATTTTTGCCAGCAGAGACAGAAGATGGTGGACTAACGTCCTCAAAGCCCATGTTCCCAGAACAAAGACTACAGGCCAGTTATGGGGAGGAACATGCAGGCATGCATGGAACTATTTTTGGAATGCGGTTTCTTCAGACATCTAGCCTCTGCATGGGCCTCCAAGGCCTGGTTTCAGTTCCCGATAATCTTCTGTTTGTCCTCCCTTGTGACTGATGTTCCTGTTTTCCCAGAGACTGGACATGCATCAGAGACCCAGCAAGCTATGGGGCCTGCTCAGGGCCCATAGCCTAGTCCCAGCAAGCTCATGGGGCCTGCTCAGGGCTACTCCCTGTTGAAAAGAGAAATTAGTAACATTTAGGGCAGCATTAGAGATTCAGCACTATACCAAGACTTTCTCCTGAAAGCAAACAGAAGGGAAAGAAAAGGGGAAAAGTCTTCTCAGGCTGTTCACTCATGCCATTTGATGACATGTCTGTGAGCCCTCTAAGATCATCTCTTGTACCACTGGAGCACTGTGGCCCAGGCCATCAGTAAACAAGGATGACTGTGAAGGCACCGGGGGCCTCTGTACTGAGATTGCATTGTTCTCTTCTGCCCCCACCTGCACTGTCAAATCTGCAGTAACAGAGGGGGAGGAGCTATCATTTCTAAACCAGGCTGCCCCTGCCTCATCACACTTTTCCCAGGCAATTGTACAATTGTGTGCCCAACACACCAGGCTTTAGAGTATCTCTGTTACGTGACTGTCCCAAAAGTCTCTGTGGAGTATTTGTGCATTTGTGCACCCATACCTGCTATGATGTATCAATACCTCACTTCCCTGGTGTGTTTTACTTGTACCGGTTGTGTGTACCTCAAGTCTGTCACACATCTTTTGTGTTGTGGATGTGGTGTACACATGTGTGCCCATGCTGGGTTGACAGTATCAGCATCCCACATCTGTTACATGTTCCTGGGGGTATGTCAGGTATCCCCAAGATGTGCTAAGGAGTGTCAGTATCACACACCTGTAACACAGGGTCCCAGATCTGTGTCCCCAGGCTGCACTGCAGTGCCATCACCACACATCCATCCCACCCAACACCTGAATGTGTTGCCAGGTTGTGCCACTGTCACACACCTGTGTGCTAGGACCAGACCTCACTCATTCATCTTATATCTAGTGTACAAGAAATTTGGGGGAAGGGTCAGCATGTTCATAGTATGAGAGATACAATGAGCCATATCTAGAATGCAGCAAATTATAATGGACACATGGCTCATCACTTCAACAAGGACACAATAAGAACAAAAAAGAGGCGAGCAGTGCCTATAGGTTAAGACTCCCAAGATACACATTGTGTATCCTGATTAGTGTACCTTAAAGAACAAACAGATTTTTGAGAAAGTTGATAAAATTTAGCACTGACAACATGTATTTTAAAATATCTTTATTTTGTATGACAAAGTTATTGGCATTATGAAAATGTTCTTACATTTAAGAAAAGCAATCTCAAGAAGTTGTGCATTAAATGACATGATGTCTGTGTTTATAAGTAAAATAATCCACTAATGTGCAGGAGGAGAATTCAAACAAGAATGATCACAATGAGGGAAGATTGGGGATTCATTAGACAGTCTTTTCCACTTTTGTACATATTTGAAATTAGCCATTACAAAAGGTAGAATATGTCATTGTAACAATAATTTTATATGTTGAAGATGAATTTAAAAAGGGCAGGACAAGAGGCCAGCACTGTGGCATAGTGGTTAACTCCAGCATGTTCCACTTTGGCCACCCAGGTTCACAAGTTCAGATCTCGGGTGTGGACCTACCATTCGTCAGCCATGCTGAGGCAGCGACCCACACACAAAATAGACGAAGATTGGCACAGATGTTAGCTCAGGGCTAATCTTCCTCAAGCAAAAAAGGAGGAAGATAGGCAACACATGTTAGCTCAGGGTGAATCTTCCTCACCAAAAAAAAAAAAAGGCACAAGGAAACTTGACAATATACCCTTCCAGTATTCAAAAACAATTATTCCATACAGCAAAGAAATTGCTCGCATCACTGAAGAATGAGTAACATTCCAACATGTCTTTGTTGTCTCATTGTCTTATTTGTTACCTAAAAGCACATAGCCAAAATTCATAAAACAGAAAATAGGCCAAAGATAAGAATAGGCATTTTACTAAAGATATGCAGGTAGCAAACACACAAAATAATGCTCAACACCCTTAGGGAAATAAATCCTTAGGGCAATGTAATTAAAAGCAGTGAGACATCACTACACACTTATTTTAAAAGGGAAAAATTAAAAAATAACCTTACCAGGTATTGATAAGGGTGTGAAGGAATTGGAACTCTCAAACACCTCCAGTAGGAATGCAAAAAGACACAACCATTATAGATCACGGTTTGGCAATTTTGTAAAAAGTTAAATATTCACTGACCCCATGACTCAGGCATTGCAAGCTGAGTTACTAATACAAGAAAATGAAACATATATCCATATACAAAATTTAAACAAAAGTTCCTATCAGCTTTTATTTGCAATTAGTAAACACTGGAAATAACCCAAATATCCATAAAGACAATAGATAATCACAGTCAATTATACATGGAAGAGAAAGCTACTTAGAAACAAGAATGAAATGTGCAGGTAAGCACCACTAATGAATCTCAAAGTAATTATATGGCATTAATGAAACAAACAAAAAAAAATGAGTAAACACTTTATGATCAACCATAAAATTCTAGAAAATGCAATCAATTGTAAAGGAATGTAAATCAATGGTTGCCTGGAGAGCCAGGGAGAGCAGGGAGTATAAAAGGGCATGAGGAAAATATGCAGGTGACAGATATGGTTGCTATCATGATAATAATGGTTTCATAGCTTTATACACGTCAAAACTTATCAAACTGTACACTTTAAATATATACAATTTATTCTATTATACCTTAATACAGCTTTAAAATATGGTTCATAATAAAAATCTAAATCTTGCACTCTTTAGAAAATCAGGTTTGGCGACTCCGTATTGACTCCACTATCTCACTCCTCATGCCTTGAAGGACAGCCTTTCCTCAGTGGCAGGAAATACTGGCAAACAATGAAGGCCATTTCCACCTGAGTCAAGAGGATCTCTGGCTGCATCACAAATGCCACATCCCCGGACTATAGGATCTCCCTTCTCCCTTTCCTTCTTTTGTTGCCTGTATAGCAACAGCCTTGAGGTGAACAGCTGAGAGAGGCTACAGGAATCCACAAAACTATTAGATTGTCTGCCAATGAGTTCAGCTACACAAGATAAACATACCTGGAGGTTCTGAGATTTCTGTACACACTCATCCCACAGTCATTGTCACTAAAACAATCGTGAATGCAGCTTTCGAAGAGGCACATTCCATATAGTTTGTTGCAGTCTCCTCCACTCTCTATTAATCCAGTGTTTCTGTACCAATTACAGTCTCCCCTGCCCCTGTAGTCTTAAAAATAGTGACAGCAGCTTTCTGAATTGTGGATATGAGGGCATAGGGCTCCTTTGTGGGAGCTAGGGATAAGATACTCCTCAGCAGGTTTGGGCACTAAGTGATTTCCCCTGTGAGCAACAAAAAATTCATGTTGTCTCCAGAAGCACTGGAGGTGTCACAACTACCCCTTCCTCAAGGTGACCTCTTAACCCACAGACATCTGTGTCTGTGAAAAAGCTAGTCCTTCTCTGAAAGTTGCCAATAGAACTCAGCATTTGCTGAGCCAACACTGGGCCAGGTCCACACCCTAAATTGTCAGTGAAAAGGGAATAAAGACCCCATAAGAGTGCAGGATACTTATGATTTCCTCCAACAAACGGGAGACCCCAGAGGCCAGCTTCACTGAGCATACTAGGGTGGTTACTAATGCACACTGTGTGGACCTGCCAGGTGATTGAGGTGAAATGGCTTCTGCCAGAGGTGAAACTGGCAGTGATACAAATCTGACAAGAACCCCAGGCAGGTTACACATGCTTCCCACACAACTGAAACTTATATGGAGTCTCCAGTCTGTGGATATCTGGATATACAAGATTCATTTCAGGCAGATGGCTCCTCACAGAGCCTTTCCTCTAACACCGTTATTCTAACTAAGGAAAGAGCATATTCTCTACATAGCTAAAGCCTTTTCCCAGTGTGAACTTAGGTGTTGAGTGAGGTCAGATTTGCAGCAAAGGATTTCAAACATTCAGTGCACATGAGCTCTCCTATGCCGAACAAGGCCAGATCTCTGGCTGAAGGATTTCCCACACTCATTGCACTCATGAGGCCTTGCTCCAGTGTGAACTGTTCGATGTTGAATAAGCTGGGCTTTGCGGCTAAAGGATTTCCAACATTCACTGCAATCATAAGGCCTTTCTCCAGTGTGAATTCTTTGGTGTTGAATGAGGACAGATTTCTGACTAAAGGATTTCCCGCATTCACTGCACTCATAAGGTCTTTCTCCAGTGTGAACTCTTTGGTGTTGAATGAGGACAAATTTCACACTAAAAGATTTGCCACATTCAATGCACTCATAAGGCCTTACTCCAGTGTGAACTCTCTGGTGCTGAACAAGTTTGGATTTACATCCAAAAGCTTTCCCACACTCAGTGCACTCATAAAGCCTTGCTCTAGTGTGAGCTCTTTTGTGTAGAAGGAGGCCTGAGCTTTGGCTAAAGGATTTCCCACATTCACTGCATTCATAAGGCCTTTCTCCAGTGTGAACTCTTTGATGTTGAATGAAGACAGATTTCGCACTAAAAGATTTGCCACATTCAATGCACTCGTAAGGCCCTCCTTCAGTGTGAACTCTCTGATGATCACGGAGCCTGAAGCTAAAGGTAAAAGCTTTCCCACATTCACTGCACTCATAAGGCCTTTCTCCAGTGTGAACCCTCTGATGATAACGGAGCCTGGAGCTAAAGGTAAAAGCTTTCCCACATTCACTGCACTCATAAGGCCTTTCTCCGGTGTGAACTCTTTGGTGATGAACAAGGGCAGATTTCTGGCTAAAGTATTTCCCACATGCACTGCAGTCATAAGGCCTTTCTCCAGTGTGAACTCTTTGGTGTTGAATGAGGATAGATTTCTGGCTAAAGGATTTCCCACATTCAATGCACTCATAAGGCCTTACTCCTGTGTGAACTCTCTGGTGTCGAATCAGGTGGGATTTATAGGTAAATGATTTTCTACATTCAGTGCACTCATAAGGCCTCTCTCCTGTGTGAACTCTCTGATGATGATGGAGGGTGGAGCTAGTGGTAAAATATTTCCCACATTCACCACACTCATAATACCTTTCCCCAGTGTGAATTTGCTGGTGCTGAACAAGTGTGTATTTGCAGCTGAAGGATTTCCCACATTTGTTACATGTGTTAAGACCTTCAGTGCAGACTCTCTGGTGGGGAAGTGTATCCATGTTGTTGAAAACTTTCCTGCATTCAATCCACTTGTCATGACTTTTTCCACTGTTGAAGGGCTCCCCATGCTCAAGGTTCCCATGTGGCTTCTCACCATCAGGAATGGCCTGCTGCTGGAGAAGGTCTGAGGTAGCTAGAAAGTTCTTTCCACCCTCCCCAGAGGTAAAGGGCTTCCCTAACATGTGGAATCTGCAGCTTATCACAAACGAGGCCTGCTCCATGTCCATTTTGAAGATTTTCTCTCTACTGTCATGCTTTTGGTGCTGCTGAAGGTTTGCACTAAACCAGAAGCCTCTGGATGCCCCACCCAAATATGGTTTCTGCCCAGAATATGTTGCTTGGAGCTCAGTGAGGTGCAAAATGTCTTTCAACACTGGCACACACTTTTCACAGGGGTGAATCTTCTGGGTCGATGGACCTGCCTTAGAAGTCCTGACCTGTGACACTCCTTCTACAGAAATGCTCTGCTCAGAAAGTACCTCCTCATCCTCAGCTCCATACCAACAATCTGAAAGCAGAGAAATACTGATAAAATGTATGGTAACTTAGGTGGGAGAGGCAAGTCCCATAAAAAATGTGTGTCATAACATACACACATGCTCGGCTAGCCATATGCAACACGATACTGTCTTGTGATGCTGGGCAGCAGCAGCAAGCTACAGCTCCTACACAGCCACAGGATCACAAGGGTAAACAACCAGTACACTTACAACCATTCTGTAAACATACAACCAGGGCCGGCCCCGTGGCTTAGCGGTTAAGTGTGCACGCTCCACTGCTGGCGGCCTGGGTTCAGATCCCGGGCGCGCACCGATGCACCGCTTATCCGGCCATGCTGAGGCCGCGTCCCACATACAGCAACTAGAAGGATGTGCAACTATGACATACAACTATCTACTGGGGCTTTGGGGGAAAAATAAATAAATAAAATTAAACATACAACCATTCTGTTTTTCACCTTCAGTATTCAATAAATTACACGAGATATTCCATACTTTATTATAAAATAGCTGTTGTGTTAGATAATTTTTGACATATATTTTCAACTTATAATTGGTTTATCAGGACGTAATCCCATCATAAGTCGAGGAAGAGCTGTACATTCAAACCAAAGAATGAATCCATGGCAACGTTTTCAGGATGAGGGAGCACACAGCCATTTGAAAAAAGGGCAGGCTGCTTTGTGGTACTGGGCCTCTAAAGAACACAGAATGGGGAAGACCTCAAGGGACAAATGGCACAAATATACAGTACAGGGAGAGGAGGCAGGATCACTAACCCACTCCTATCCCAACACCCTTCAGCAAGACCTCATCATGGGGACATGTCCATGCAATGTAGAAGGATGGGTGAGTCTAGGCCCAGGGAAATACAATTGGAACTATTTGGTGTTTAAGGACTATTTAAAGATATGTGCACACTTCACAATTATTACAGTAACCCACATTATATGTGGGTTACTGTAGATGAACTGTGTCATGCAGTGGAGAGAACAAATGACTCATGGAAGTCAGAAAGCAGGGGACAGCAGGGACTGGAGTCACAGATGAAATGACAAATCAGAAAAGTGCCAAGTGTGCGGAAGAAAATGTATAAATTATTTGTATCTGTTGGCATTTATACTATAACACTGGTGGACACAGGGCAGGTTCCTGGTATGATCTGAACACAGCCCTGATATCATGCCCTCCCCTAGTTGCCTCTCAACAGTGTAAGGCTTCCTCTGAGTCCATCTTACCATGTCCACACTGTGAAACAACCAGGGTTCTCCATGCCCCCTCAGCTGCATAACTACATGGGACCTAAATGAAGCAAGTCTTTAGGGAAAGACAGGACATCTGAGCAGTCAGCACTGGCCCAGAGCAATTCAGGAAACAAAAGACGACAGGAAAGGAAAGAATAGTATAATAAAATCTCAAAGGAGGGTCTTTCAAGAAAAGCCTATCGACCACAGAAGTAGTGACCGTAATAAGCCTGTAATTTCTGATAGAGGCAGTCACAAGGAAATCTTAAGGGTTCTCATCACAAGAAAAAAAAAATTAACTCTGTATGATGATGAATGTCAACTGGATTTACTGTTCTGAGCATTTTGTAATATATACACATACTGAATTATTATGTTGTACACCTGAAACTAATGTTATATGACAACTATATCTCAATTAAAAAAAAAAAAACCAAAACAAAATGAAAGGGGTTAGAACCTGGGCCACGAGGTGCCACAGATCTGCACACAGTCATCCAGAGACGGAGAGGGTGAGAAAGGTGAGCTCAATTAGGCTGACTGCACAACTCTGGAGTCTCAGACCCATCCCCGTACACGTTGGGATAGGAAGTGTTAGGACTGCATTGCGCAACTGCATTCCTTGGGGTAGTGCATATAGCTTACTGCTGGCACCCACAGTACATATGCCAAGGAAGTGGGGAAGCTAGCAGGGCTCATGGTCTGCCTGTGGAAAGGACAGAGCTGCCTCCAGGACAGAGAGAAAGATAGACTAACTAAGGACACTGAGAGGAATATGAAGGCCTTACCCAAGGATGTTGTAAGTACAAAGTTCTCCAGCATCACATCATGGTACAAGATCCTCTGAGCCTCATCAAGGAGCCTCCACTCCTCCTGGGAGAAGTAAATGGCCACATCTTCAAAGGTCACACAGCCCTGCCATGATGGAGACCATTCATTTCATGAACAGCTTCTCTCTTAGAAGTCCATCCACCCACTCAATCATCCCCTGCTCACCCTCCTCCCCAATTCTCCCTCTCAGAGGAGATACCAGGCCCTGGTGCCACTGATGCACACTCTCTCCTCATGGTCCCTTTAATCCCTGTGTCCACCCACAGCAACAACAGGCAGGTGGGCAGACAGACAACACCTAAGCTCTGGGCCTGGCATGCAGGGAAGCACTCCCTCTTGTCAGGCAATTCTCCTAGGATCACCAAGACCATGTGTCCCAGACACAGCCAAGGGTGTGGGTTCACATTTCACCCTTATGTCTTCAATGTAAGGCCCTTGAGTCACCAGTTCGCACTCCTCTCCACTTGGACATCATTCTTTCTACTACATCTCTCTCTAACAATCACCACCTTTTCCCTGCCCTGCACTATAGGCATCTCCCTTGTCCTTCCTACAAGTTATTCAACACATGGCATATAGAGAGGGCTTGGCGAATTCAAATAGGATGCAGTATTACCCCTGATCTCCAATGGTCCCCACTGCCATCAGCAGCCCAGAATCTTGTTCTACAAGTCTCCCCTTATAAAATAAATAAGTCACAGGGAGGTAATATATAACATAGTGAACACAGTAATAATACTGTAACATAACGTTGTATGGTGACAGAAGGTAACTAGATTTAGCATGATGATCATTTAGTAATGCATAAAAATATCAAGTCACTATGTTGTACACCAGAAACTAAAATAGTAGTATACGTCAATTACACTTCAATAAATATGTATATACTAAATGTGACCCACAGTGTTATAGACTGAATGTATGCATCCTCCCAAAATTCATATGTTGAAGCCCTAACCCACAATGTGATGGTATTTGGAGGTGGTGCATTTGACAAGTAATCAGGTTTAGATTAGGTCACAAGGATGGGACCCTTATAAGAGGAAGACAGATTCCTTGTTCTCTCTACAAGTTTGCACTAAAGAAAGGCTATGATGTGAGGATACAGGGAGAAGGCAGCCATCTGCAAAACAGGAAGAGAGCCCCTCACCAGGAATAGAATCTGTCAGCAATTCAATTTTAGAATTGCCAGCTTCTAGAACCATGAGAAATGTAGGTATTTTGTTTTAGATGTCCAAGCTAAGACACACAGCTCCACCCTGGTCCATATACTATCTAGCATCTTTTGCAGATGTCTCCCTCCTGAAAGCCTCCCCACAGTCCCACTTAATACTTCCACCCATTTGTTCTCTGCAATATCTCATACATTTAACACGTCCAAAACAAAACTCCTAATATCCTGAATGAAAATTAATCCCACTACCAACTTCCACATCCCAGTTGATGGAGCTTCCTTCCCTTCAGCTGCTAAACCCAAACAGCTTGCAGTCATTCCTGACTTCTACCTTTTTTTCTCTCACCTTCAAAATCAGAAAATCAAAGCAGACCTATTGAAAAAAACTGATTCAGAATCCAACCATTTCAACCAACTCCACGGCCACCACACGGGTCCACATCATCAACACTCACCTGAACTATTGCTGTTGCTCCTTCCTGGTCTTCCCACCACCTTCCTCACACCCCCAGTCTATTCTCCATGCTGCAGTCACAGAGCTGGGTCAGATCACTTGCCCCCTCTGCTCAAAACCTCTCATCGTTCCCATCCTCCAGAAGAGACACCCAACTTCACAGGGAGCCATTCCAGGCCTCACTCCTGTTCCCTTGCTCTCTACTCCCACGAGAAAGAAAGAAGACTTCAAGTTCCCTTAAACCAGTTCAGCCTCACGTCCAAGAGTCTGCAGATACTGGCACTTATACCTGGGGCAACCTTCCTCCACACCTCATTCCACTGGTTGCCAGCAACAGGAACCACTCCATGTAACACCCAGCCGGGTCTGAGGGCCCTGGGCTTAGGATTTGTTCAGGCTCCCCAGGATCAAGGCCTGGAAGAGGGACAGGTGAAGAGTCCTAGGACACCACAATCCCAGAGATCAAGAGTAGGAGCAGGATCAGTGAGGTTCTGGAACACCCTCCACTCACCCACTTTTGAGGGCTCCAGAAGTGCTTCTGTACTTGTGACAGTCTAGGTGAAGAGAGAGGTTCTGAGAGGCAGGTGACCATGGCAGGGCTCCATGGGCTCTCCACTGCCCAGTTCCCCTGCCCGGCCCCGAAGCCAGGTGACCTGGATGACTGCATTATCTCTGGGTCTCAGTCCTCACTGCTGACTCTTATCAGCTTGTGTGACCTTGTACAAGGACTAAATCCACCCCACCCCCACCCCCGTCTCCTATTTTCATTCCCTTTCCAGTCTGTTCCTCTGAGCAGCTTTTGTAAAACTTCTAAAAAGATAATTCAGGTGAGGCCTTTTCTGTTCACAACTCTCCATGCTCCCAGCCTCCTGAAAATGGCAACCTACTATTGCAACCGCGACTTTGCCTCACAGTCTGTTTCCTAAACAGACACAAGACAGACCTCGGGGTTCCTGACTCCTCCCGGCTCAGTCACCCTCCACGCCTCTCCCCCGCGGGCCCTCCCCTGGGACCCTCTCCCACACCCGTCACCCCGGCTCTCAGAAACAGGCCCCACGAGCGCCTCCCCGTCCCGGACACCGGGGCCTGGGCTGCAGGCCCGTGAGCGGCGCCCGCACTCGGGGCTCTAGGGCTGGGCTGGGCTGAGGACGGGGAGGACGCGGAGCACGAGCACTGACCTGAGTCGGCTCCCTCCGCGCGGCCGCCGCCATCGGACTCTGGGGGCGGAGCGGGGCCGGGAGCGGCAGGAGAGGAGGGGACCCGGGCACGGCGGACCCTGTCCCGGCCCTGGCGCGGGCCCCCCGGGCGGCGTCGCCGAGGCTCAGACCCGCCCTGTGCAGCGGGGACAGCGCCTCCTCTCGCGCCTCCTCGGTGTTGTCACCTCAGCCCCGACCCAGCGCTCCAAAGCCTGACGTAAACCCAGCAGGCAGTGGCCAAAATGACCGCCAAGAGGAGGACACCGGAAGCCCGCAGGCACGGAAATGCCCCTCGCCTGAGCTTTCATTGGCTCAACGCCAAAGGAGCCTGGAGCATATTCCTCTGGGTAACGTAGTTCTCACATCTTCAAAGGCCCAGGGGTCTTTGTGTGCTGGTCACTGTGGCTTCCATGGGGACGTGGCACCAGGAGAGATACTGAGAATTGGTGTCTCCAGCCTTCTAGGGCAAGGGAAGATCTTTGCTCTTTCTTTAAGGGGCTGTATTCAGATTTCTGGGGAGTGTTGTCTGCATCTGATCACTAAGTGTTTACAGATATTATTTCAGACTCCTTGAAGCTTGCATGCTCCCCGAGTCTAAAAGTATTATTTCAGGTGCTCTCAATGACTACAAATCCAAAGGGATATTTCATTCCATAGAGTCATTCAGACACATAATATGGCTACTCTTACTGGAACCTAATGAACATTATCTTGTTTTTCAAGTGCCTGTTGCCTGAAACGTTGGAGTCAGCTTGGTGAGTTTCAGTATGTCGGGTCAGGAGCAAGAGAAAAAGCCTCCGCATAGGGTCAAGACAGAGAAGACAGAAAAGGGATGGTAGACTTCCCTGAAGCAGAAGGACAAAGGTGGAACTCTGTTTTGGGTTCCCCCAGAAAATGTCTCTCTTGCCTGTATAGCCAGTGATTGTGTCAACTCAATGAGGAACGCTGGTATATCTATAGAATATTTCTTACTCCATAGCCTTAGATATATTCAGTTCCTTTTAGGAACCTGACAGGTATTTGAGAAGAACCACTTACCAAATGCCATTTCTGAGGGCTGTTGGTAAGTTCCTTTTGGTTTGAGCTCCACTTTTTTCATCTGAGCTCCCTACCTAATTGGCTTTTCAGTTATGAGCTTAGTGGATCAGCTTGGAGGCAGCAGACCGTCCTATCCAGAACCAGAAGTCCCTAGCCCACAATTCCGCGTTGGAATCCCTACCCCGGTTCCAGTCGGTAGTCCTCGTTTACTGGGGTTTACTGGTTTAGTCCTTTCCCCAGTTCGAGTCCACAGTCTCCACTTACTAGAGCTAGCTGGTTTAGCTTGTGCAGTGAGTTACTGGTGGTACCAGACACAGTTTAACTGGGTCCAACTTAAACACCAGACTGGATCTGGGATTGGACTGGGTCCAATTTAGTCAGCAGTATTGTCTAATCACTAGTATTGTCTAATCACTGGTTTTCTCCCTGCATTCCACATTGGGAACTGCTGGTGGCAGTTGCAGTTCTCCATTTGTTTGGAATCAATCTGCTGTCCCCATTCTTTGAAGTGTGCTGGTTCAATCCTGTCCCCAGTCCCTAGTTTGTTGCTTACTGCTAGTGTCCACGGTTCTGTTTCCTCAGTTACTCTTAGTTTCTCTTAATGTGCACATGAGGTAAAGGCTATTGGTAAAAGAGAATCTCAGAAGCCAAATAGCTTAGGTATTGATGTGGCTTTGAAGAAACCCAAAGGGCTACCTAAAAGAAATGGGATCTTTTATATCCAGAGAGTTGAGCGCACCACCTTCTGGCACACCTGCTTATTTTATGTTCAACAACTATAGTCCTGGAAGTTGCAGGTACCTAATAAGATGGCAAGATTTTACTAAAAACGGCCTAGAATTACAATGGCCATTATGGGGAATGTTCCAATTAGACAGAATTGCTCATTTAGGAAATGTACTTGCGAGTGTAGGGGAAGAAGACTTATCCTCTACCCACTCTGGGTCCTTTCTGGCTGGACTACGAATTAAATTGACATGAGACAGAATAACAGGAGAAAATCAAACAAAACTTTATAACATATATACATGGGAGAGACCCAGAAAAAACTGGGAAACTCGACAAAATGGCAGAGGTTCTCATCTTAAATACTATCTTCAGGTAAAGACAAAGGAGGATGTTGGAGGGGATTCGCTATGGGAGATTACCAGAAAATCACAGTAAACAAGAGTAAGGTTAATATGCAGATTTAAGTCCTTGCCTTCCACACTGATAAGAGTTT